TGTGCACCTGCCTGGCGCACCTGTGGCCGTGAGCCCTGCACACATGGCCCACAAAGCACATGGGGATAAAAATGCTACCAATCCTTGCTCCGTCGGGCCAATCTCTGGGCTTTACTCCCCTCTGGTTAGGAAATTCTTTTACGAAGGGCCCTACATGTAAAATACCTGGTCACGCAGCCGATCCCGCGGCCAGACGCCATCGCCCGGCGCAGACGAGCTGTCACCCAGAAATGCTGCCGGTGACTCATTCCCGGCCCCTTTCCCCTCCCAGGCCGGCTGAGTGCTCTGTCCTGGACGGAGATGGCCTTGGTGCTGGTCCCTGCCTTTTGCCTTCTGAGCGGTGAGTAATTCACAGAGACGCGATGCGCTGCCGCCCAGGAGACCGGTGGGGACCGTTTCCCAGCCCTGGGAGTGCGTCTACACTGCCAGGAGGGGGCTCGGAACCAGGTTCCATTGTAGGGACGTCCCAGCCACTAACGCCAGCAGCTCCAGATCAAGCCCACAGGGCATCTGGCCTTGAACCTGACCCCGAGCGGCCGGGTCCTCGCTGCTGGTTTCCCCCTGGTGGAGAACACGCTTGGTTCTCCTGGCAGAGACAGCCTGGTCTAGCCCCGGCCACCCTGGGCTGAGCAGCGAGGGCCTCAGCAACTCTCATCCCCTAGGCTGCCATTTTCCCTGCGCCACGTCCTGCCTCCGGGCTTTTCGCTGTCCTGGCGAGTCGGGGTGTCTCCTGGGCCGGCCTGGAGAGCTCTGCTCCCTGCCCTGCCCATCCGCCCAGCTCCGGCCCAGCTAGCCCCTGCCCACGTCCGCACCCAGTTCCTTGATCACGGGAAGCACCTGACCTAGAGCTGCAAACCCTCCAGGATTGTCCTGGATTGTCCAGGATTTAAAGATTAATCTGCAATTAAAGATTGTCATGTGATTAAACATCCAGGAATTTGTCCAACCAAAGTTGGCAACTTTAACCTGACCCCTCGCCAGTGGGGCTCCTCCTGCCGTCAGGGTCTCTGACCCAAGGTTCAGACACCCAGCTCGGGGGGGGAGGGGGCTGAACTGAGAGGGGATGAGGGGTGCACTGAGGGGTGATATGGGGGTCTGAATTGAGGGGGGATGGGAA